ATCTTAGAAAATTTTTTTTCATCCCCTGAAAGAAACCTTGAAACTCTTAACAGTTATTCTGTGTTCCTCTCCTCACCTCTGCTTTAGGCTATCATTATCTACTTTCTTTATGAATTTACCTATTCTAGATGTTTCACCTGAATGGAATTACAATACTCTGATTTCTCTTCAGATTGTATCTTTCACCTTTCACTAAACGGAACCATGTAGTACGTATTAGTTTTTAACTGACTTCTTTCATTTGGCATAAGGTTTTCAAGGCATGTCTATTTCAGCATGTATGAGTACTTCATTCCTATTTATTCCTGAATAGTTTTATATGTCCATTCATCAGTTGGTGAACATGGGTTATTTCCACTTTGGGTCATTATGAATAATGCTGTGAATCATAGTGTGCAAATTTTGTGTGGATATATTTTCATGTTTAAAATTTTTTTTTGGTTATGCTAATGGCTATGATTTATTAAAGTGGAAGGAAATGCAGTAGAACCATCAAAAGGAAAAAGCACATGGAAAAATTCCAGAACAAATCAGGCACCTCATCCTCTAATTTTTCTACTACTTGTATGATTATATTTTTCTTTCTTTATTTATTTTTTTAGTTATAGTTGGACATAATACCTTTATTTTATTCATTCACTTTTTTTTTTTTTTTAATGTGGTGCTGAGGATTGAACCCAGGGTCTCGCATATGTGAGGCGATCGCTCTACAGTTGAGCCATAACCCGAGCCCTATATTTTTCTTTTTGATAGCCTTTCATTGGATTGTTACACATTCATTTTGACAATCTGTTATAAATGTGATTAGATCATTTGCATGTGGTATAATATAATCTAAATTATTTTGGAATTTGGGTCCATAATATTTTAAAATATTTTTTTCTTAGTTGTAGATTGGCACAATACCTTCAGTTAATTTATGTTTATGTAGTGCTGAGGATTGAACCCAGTGGCTCACATGTGCTAGGAAAGTGCTTTACCACTGAGCTACAACCCCAGCCTCCAGGTCTATCATTTCTTGTTTGCTCTTTTTGTCTTGAATTATTTGAACCTTGTTATTTAATGTTCCATTTTATTTATTTTATGTATGTTTATATCTCTCGTTTGATTGTCCAGGGGTCCATATAGGGATTTCAATGTATATGTTGAACTTTTCACATACTGCTTAGACTGAGTGTTTATCACTTTAAGTGAAGTATGGAAACCTTATCATCATATAGTTCTCTTTATTTTTTCATCTTTATGTTATAATTGTTATATGTTCCATACTTTGTTTCTAGTCATCAAACATATTTTAAACAACCCAAGAGAATAGTGTATTTTGTTTGCCCAGATGTTAATCAGTTTTTGTAGTTGTTTATTCTTTTTTTAATATTTATTTTTTAGTTATAGGTGGGTACAATATCTTCATTTTATTTTTATGTAGTGCTGAGGATTGAACCCAGTGCCTCACGCATGGTAGGCCAGCGCTCTACCTCTGAGCCACACCTCCAGCCCCTAGTTATTTATTCTTAATGTTCCAAAATTTCCTTCTAATATTCTTTCCCATTTTATCAGAAAAACCTTTGACAATTCCTTTAGAGCAAGTTTTCTGGCAACAAGTTTTTGCTTTCAACTGAAAATGTGTTTATCTTATCTTCATTTTGGAAGGATAATGGATATAAAATTTTGGGTTATGACAGAGTTTTTGTTGGTTTGTTTCAGTGCTGGGAGTTGAACCTAGGGCTTCAAGTAAATGCTGTAACATTAAGCTACCTCCCCAGTCTTTGTTTTTCTTAGCACTTAAGATTATGTGTTCTGCTTTCTAGGCTCCATAGTTTCAGATGAGAAATCTTAAGTGACTTGAATCATTGTTCTATAAATCTGATTCTACACTTTTGTCTGACTGTTGTCTCCCTAAGTGATCTCATCCAGGTCCATAATTTTAAATACCATATAATGCTGAAGACTGCATCCCAGGATTATCTCTGATCTCCAGATTTATATATCACAGATCTTAATTATATCTCTCAAACTTACTTGTCCATGGAACTTGAGATATACTACTATTCTGAGTGAGTGACATGGCCATCTACCATGTACTTAAGCCTGAAACTTAGTAGCCAACAAACCACCCAAGCACCCCCATGTATGTTGTATCTACATTATCTGCAAGTCCTGTGGATTTCCATCTGTAAACCATATCTTTTATGTTCTTCTACTTTTCTGTCTCTTGCTGTTACCATCCTGTTCCAAGCCAACATGGTCCTTTTCTGCATATTTTTCTGTTTCTAATTTTTTTAAAGATAGAAGTCAAACCATCTGATCTCCTTGCTTAAAACAATTCACTGGATTTCCTTTATACTTGGAATAGAAGCCTAAATCCTTAAGTATTTGATCTGGTCAACTCCTGACATCCACAGTGTACTTTTTTCATTTTCATTGCATACCAGGTTCTTTCCTCTCTTAGGGTTTTTGCATGTGCTTCATTCTCCCTGCCCTCCCTCCCCATCCATTCTTTGCTTGGATGCTCCTTTTGCTTCCAGCTTTAGTTTGTCACTTTATTTAAATAGTATAATTTCCTGCCTTGACCTGTTATTAACGAGATTTGCAAAAAATAACAATGCTGTTCTTATCTTTTAATTCTCTTCTGAAAGTTATTTTTAAATTTTTTTTAAAGAGAGAGAGAGAGAATTTTAATATTTTTTTATTTTTTAGTTTTCGGCGGACACAATATCTTTGTATGTGGCGTTGAGGATTGAACCCAGGCCGCACGCATGCCAGGCGAGCGCGCTACTGCTTGAGCCACATCCCCAGCCTATTTTTTAATTTTTAAAAAATATTTATTTTTTAGTTGTAGTTGGACACAATATCTTTATTTTATTTCTTTTTATGTGATGCTGAGGATCAAACCCAGGGCCTCACACGTGCTAGGTGAGTGCTCTACCGCTGAGCCACAGTCCCAGTCCTGAAAGTTATCTATCTATCTATCTATCTATCTATCTATCTATCTATCTATCTATCTATCTATATGTGGTGCTGAGGATTGAACCCAGTGCTTCACACATGCAAGGCAGGCGCTCTACCACTGAGCTACAACCCTAGCCTTGAAAGTTATTTATTAAACAAAATGTTTTATGTTAAATAATGGGTTTACTGTTGTTTTAGAATTAATAAATATTGTTAAGATTTCTCAGCTTTAATTTTAGCTATGGTAATGTGTAATGTAATATGTAATGACAAATTTTTTAACCCACATAAACCAAAGATCTTTGGAGATCTGTTGCATATTTTTAATTTTAGTTTTTATTGTGATAAGATATTCATAACACAATTTACAATTTTAACTACTTTTAGGTATACATAAATAAATTTACAATGTTGTACAACAATATTTGCAGAAGTAGGTTTTGAGAATGAGAAGAAAATTCCAGATGTTTCATATTAATGGAATTATACAATATTTGCCTTTGTGTCTCTAATTTCACTTAGTTTGTTTTTAAAATCCATCTGTGTTGTATCACATATCAAAAGTCCATTCCTTATTAGAGTTGAATAATATTCCATTAAATGTATAGGATACATTTTGTTTATTCGTTTATCTCTTCTTACTCTTAGTTACAGTACAAGAGCAATTTAAATGTATTGATAACGTAAATAGCAAATAATTAAGTAGTAAATCATGTGGTTTAGAATCTACATATTTTACCATAGCTTTTTTTTATAATCCAGAGGAGAAAGTCAACCTGGTATTTGAAATTCTGAGTCATTATTTGAGGTTATCATTAGTCATTTAATTCTTGTGTTCTCCATGATATGGACAGTATTGGCTTTATCAAGATTAATTTCATTGAAAGCATAAGTTAGTTTATTTGTTGTTGTTGTTTGGTGCTAAGGAATGAACCCAGGGATGAGCCATGTCCAGACAAGGTCTCACTAAGTTGCTGAGAGGCTACCTTGAACTTGTGATCCTCCTGTCTTAGTCTCCAGAGTAGCTGGGATTACAGGCATGTGCCATCACACCTGGCAAGCTTTGTTTTGTTTTTGTTTTTGTTTTTTTTTAACTGTTAACAATTACCTACATATAATAATATTAAATTATATTTTAATATAAATATATTTTACTTTATTGCAGGCTACTTCAGTCTGGCCATCTATAATTTTACCTTATTATTTTTATTGATCTAGAATAGTGCTGATGTATATAGTAAGTGCTTGATAGATATTAAATCAGTGAGTGTTCTCAGCTACACAGTTATAAACACCCTTGTATTTTTGTAGATCATATCATTAAAGTCATCCCTTATTTATAGATTTTACTAATTTTTTGTAAGACACTCTTAATTTCAAGTTCTTAAATTTTATTTAACTTTCTTCCTCTATTATTAACAAAGATTAGGCTTTGTTTTTGAAAGTTTTAACACCGAAAATTTTTCAATATAATCATGCTATTCTTTAACCTGTATTAAGCTATAGAGCCAATAATGTTAATGGGGGCAGTTATTTCCTGGCTTTGGCTATGAATCAGATAGTAACTATTTCTTTGGTTTTGAAATTGTGGTTTCTTGAGCTAACTTGAGTGATGTAAAAGATGAGTCTTGTTAGGCGTTTCCTCTTTTAAAAATTTATTTAGTGTTTTATTATAAACAGATTTTCTCCAAGGAAACATTTCTCTGTAGTCTTACCTCATCACCCTTAGAAATGAAAACCTTCCTATATGAACTGATAACTTAGTTTATTACTAAGCTATATGTTACTCACATGTGTGATGAAAATAGCCTTGTGTTTTTATTTTATACACACATGCACATTTCTGCATTTAATATTCCCAGAACTTTCAGAAGTAATTCGATTCTGACTCAGTCTTGTGCTGATTACAGGACATTTTCCTTTAGGCTACCCTCCGCCCATTTTGGGAGTTGTGAGTGTTTATCCTCTTATTGGTTAACTCTGGCCACTGAGTACATGAGTACATGTCACATGCATGTGGTGTTGCTTGTCAGAGTGGAATTCTAAGACTTCCTCTTTACATAAAGCAGTTAAACTTTGTGCTTCTGACCAGCGGCATGGTCTTGGGGACAGTTCTGCTTCCACCTAACAGTTATGGCAGAGATCAGAACACATCACGTTGCTGCCTGTGCAGTGAGGCCTCAGGATCTGCTGTACCCAACTTGACAGGTATGGGTCAGAGTTGGTAGTTGGAGAAAGGGTGGATAACCACAAGAGTCAAGTGTGGAGATGTTAAAAAATTAATCTTACCTGCTATTGTTATCATCCGCATGTTTTGTCAGTAAAGGTTTATGTTGCTTTTTTTCTTAGTATTTCATAGTGTAATGTTTATTGAATATTTATTGAATAGTTAGCAAATGAAAGAATATATAAATGATATTTTATGATATGAAGATGTATATATGTCTTGATGTGAAGAACTTAAGCTGTGTTAAAAACTGTTGAATACTTTATCCAACTTAGTTTTTAAAAGAGATTAAAATTATTAGCTTGTAGAGAATACAGTCAGGTGAAGTAGAATTCTGTGAAGAGAAAGGTTTATAAAATACTCGAAACTACCTAAACTGAAAAATTTGTATTTTAATTTTTCCAATTACTACCTGACAGATTTCTAATAAAACTGATAAAGAGTTATTGAGTAACTAATTGTTGGAAGTGTTTTTATAAAATTAAGCATTAAGTTTCAGATTACTGGGGCTAGAGTTGTAGCTCAGTGGTAGGAGTGCTTGCCTGGCACATGTGAGGCACTGGGTTTGATCCTCAGCTTCACATAAAAATAAATAAAAATAAAACAAAGGTATAAAAAAGTTTCGGATTTCTCTGTGAGTTTATTATTCTAGGTTTTAACTTGTTTAATCATAGTAATTTATTTTGAACAAGCTATTATTGCTGTTTTGCTTTATTTTTGTTGTATATTGCACATTTATCAATAGGAAAAAGTTAATAGGGCTGGGGTTGAGGCTCAGTGGCAGAACACTTGCGCTGGGATCGAGCCTCAGTACCACATAAAAACAAACAAAATTGTGTCCATCTACAACTAAAATAAAATTAAAAAAAAAATTAACAAAGCCCAGTGCAGTGGCACATACCTATAGCCCAGTGACTTGGGAGGCTGAGACAAGAGGACTAGAAGTTTGAGGCCAGTCTGGGTAGTTTATTGAAACCCTGTCTCAAAAAAGAAAAAATTAAAAAGGCTGGGGATGTAACTCAGTTCTAGAGAGCCTCTGGGTTCAGTCCCAACATCCTAGTACTGAAGAAAAAAAAAAAAAAAGGAGCATAGGGGATGGAGAAAGAAAGAAGTAACAAAATTCCCTTTTTAAAATTGTCATAAAATAGTTCTGCCACTTGGTTCCTTTATATACATAAGTAAAATTCAGTTTTCTAATGTTTTATCTTAAGTCCATCATCTCCCTCTATTAAAAAAGCAGTAATTAACTAGAAGATTAGTTCAGTTGCTATCTAACTTAGTATATAGCAGTCACTTCACATTGTTCAAAAATGAAACTTCGCAGCCTACACATCTCCATTGAGGTTTGTGCAGTACATCTGAATCATCCAGACATGTCTATCTTAACTGATGAGGAAAGTGCCACAGATTAGGCCCACTGACTTTACTTGCTCTGCCCACAGGCTTTTGTTTCATTTTGGTTTGCGTTAACCCTTAGCTGATTCTTTTCCATTTATTTCTTTTAACACTGTGATTCAATACATGTTCATTCTCGTCCCCAGAAAAATGTTGAATTTCTTTTCTTTAAAAAAGTTCTCTTTTTGTTTGGTACCAGTAGGTAGGATGGGATATCCTGTGTAGACTGATTTACAGGAAATTGACCCTCAGTTCTATGAGAACAGAAGAGTGAGTGGGAAGAAAGAAGAAAAGAAGGAAGGAAGATCTTTTGACTCAGTCAGAAGGACCATAAAACCAGAGATAGGAAGAGGGGGTGGTGGGAAATGAAAAGGTTTGTTTTCCAAATAGTGGTTCTTTTAAGTAATTTTGCCTTAAAAAAATTATTTTTATCCTGTGTTTATTGATTTGTATATTTAAGAAATATGTAGTGTTGTTTGACCTTTAGATATTTTAAAATTTATGTTACATTGTGTTGTGGGTCTTATCCTGTTTTCTCCTTTTGTCAGATAACTTCTTCTTTTGTTTTTTTTTTTTTTTTTTTTTTTAGTACTAGTAATTGAACCCAGGAACACTTTACCTCTGAGCTACATCTGTAGTCTTTTTTCTTTTTAATTTTGAGACAGCGTCTTGCTAAATTGCTGAATCTGGCCTGGACTTGAAATCCTCCTGCCTCAGTTTCCTGATTATAGACATGTGCCCCTGCACCTGGCTAAATAACATGGTTTTAAAGAAGCTAACTTTGCCTTTAAAAATCTTCCCTTGGGCTTGGAGTTCCTCCCCCATAGATGAATCACATGTTATGAACATGTCCTTGCACATTGACAGTCATCAGTACAGAAATCTTACTCATCCATTTTAAATGCTTATTTAATTTAAAGTTTGAAACCTTGCCTGACTCCAGAGTTTTGTTTTATATTTTGTCCTCTTATAGCATTCTCTGAGTATGGCAGTCTACATGATTTATTCATTTTTGAAACCTCTTATATACAGGCATTGTTTGGCATTCACTGTTCAGTGAACAAAACAGAAAATTCCTGTCCTCGTGAAACTTGTATTCTAGTAGGGGAAGTTAGATGATATGCATAAGTGTAGTAATTAATAAGTAAATTATATGTTTGGTAGTAAGAGCTGTGGAGAAAAATATATCAAGAAAGGAAATATGGAAGATGTGGAAGCGTTGTTAGGAATAGTTGCACTTTAAAATAGAGTAATCAGAAAATGCCATACTGGGAAAGGTAGTATTTGAGTAAAATGTCATGGGGACAAGTGTTTAGGCAGAAGGAAAACCAGCACAAAGATCCCGAAGCAGGAGTGTGTCTGCCATGTTTAAATGAAAGCAGGGAGGCCAGTGGTCAGTCAGAATGATATAAACTAAGGCGAGAGTAGTTAAGAGAGCACAAGACACAGAGTGAAGGACCTCATAGGCTCTTTAAGGATTTTGGTTTTTACTCTAAAATGGGGAGCCATTGAAAGAGTTTTAAACAGTTTGGTTTATGCATTAAGAGATAACTGGAGTGTTGACAAACAATAGGAAGACAATATAGAAGCATGGAAATCAGTAGCTTCATGAAATAATCTAGGTGACAGATGATTATTGTAACAGGATGGTGGTAGTGGAGAGGGTGAGAGATGGATAGACTGGATATTTCTGAAAGGAGTGCCAATAGAAGTTCTGAGTGAATTGGATGTGGTATGTGTGAGCAAGAAAGAAGTCATGAATGATTACAACGTTTTTGGCCTTAGCACCTGAAAAGATGAAATTATCATCAGCTGAGATGGGAATTCTGTAGGAGAAACAGATTTGCGGTGGTGGTGGGGAGAATAGAGTAGTTTTGTATATTAAGTTGAACAGTGTTATTAGAGATTTCTAGTCTTTTATGTTCTGAAATCCAGCACAATATCTAGCATATAGTAAATGTTCACACAAGTTACTAGTTTTGTAAATCTTAAAACTTTTTTTGGGGGGGAGGGGTGCAAAGGTTGGCCTAGGCAAGTGCTATACTACTGAGCTACATCCCCAGCCCTAATCTTAAACTCTAATACGCTGGGTTTCACAAAGTTAGGTATAAATGTATAGCATTTGCTGTTTTTGTCCTAATAGGATTTAAGTTGGCTACAATGTCTGCTTAATACTACAGTATCTTTAACCTTGTCATTGATGATAGAAAAGTTCTCCAGGGGTGAGATTTTTATATAATTTCAAACAGGCAGCTTGTATCTAAAAAGAATGAAGTGTATTTGAAACTGTACTTTGATAATCATTAGACAATAATAATTACAAAACATTATTTCTGACAAAATCATTTATCAGTATGGATCTTGGGGTGTTTAGTGTGGCCTTGTTAAATTGATAAAAGTTAATATTTATTATGGGTTTTTTTTGACAATGCTCTTGATTTTAATGAAGGACTGGCATTTGTGACCCAGTGGAACGTCTGCTAGAGCAAGTAATTTTTTCATTAAAATAAAAATATAGTACATGTGACCACTTCAAAGAATGTTTCTTATGATATGTTGTTGTTGTTGTTTATTTGGTAATCCTAAATTAGTTATCTTATATATAATTTAACTGTTTCATCCATTGTAACTTTGTTTAAACAGGGAGCAAGTATTTGCTTTAAATTGACTTTTTGGGACACCTGAACATACCTTTTAAGTCTATCATAATACTTTTAATACAAAACAAAATTTAACTCTAGAAATTCAGACATTTCTTTCTTTTCAGAGAAGAAATGAATGTGATAAAGTGAAACTATGCCACTCTTTAGATAATTACAGATCCGCCTGCAGTAGGAATTTCTGTCAATATTATGTAGATAGTTATGAAACATTGTTTAGTGTGATTTTAAGATTAAAATTCATTTGTTTCCTGTCATATATTTTTGTGTAAGTTAGCATTTCATTCAGCTAATAGTTACTGAACACATATTATGAAAACTAGACAGAAGATTCAGTTCTTATCCTTAAGGAGTCTCCATTGTAAAGTGTGGGAAATAGACATAGATGGAGGTGATTGATGGGACAAATGTCAGGTTTTGAAAGCATAGAGAGGTGTATCGTTTCCTAGGGGAAGTCATAGATTTCTAGGGGAGCTAACTAAGTGTGGTAAGGTGAGAAGTCAGCTAGTCAGAAGAAAGTGGAATGAGAACCCATTCTAGGTGTACAGGACTCAACAAAGACCAAGAGGTGGGAAGCAGAGTGGCATATGTTAAATGTGAGGTGTGAAGTGGGGAGAGACAAAGTTGGAGAAGTAGATCTTAACCATCTACTAATTGTGAAAGGTCTCAAAGGCCATGCATGATAAGGAGACTTCAGCTTGATGGTGAACTCTTGAAGTGGCTTAAGAAGAGTGATGTGGTCAAATTTTTGTCTTAAATAGATCACTTTGCCAGCTGTGTGGAGGATGGATTTGAGGGAGACAAGACTGGAGGCAATAGTCCAGGTGAGATGTTGGGGATCTGAACCGAGGTCTTGGAAGTAGAGATGGAAAGAAGAATGGATTTGAAACAAAATAAGACCACAGATTTAAAGGTTTTTCCCTTCAAATATGTTAAAAAATAATTTTAAATTAAAAGTCAGGAGAGACTTAATACAAAAATGTTGTTCTATGACAGACAATTGGATGGTTTGCCTTAGCAGACAGCCACTAAAATCAGTCCCAGAAATCTAGAAAATTTTGGAAGAACAATTATTTTTTGTATAGCCAATCTGGGCTATGTGAGACAGGTGATCTTTCAGACAATATAGGTATCACCTGTCTATGTGTATGAATAAATTAGGAACTATAAAGCCTTGAGGAAGAAACTGGTCTTACTAGGCTTCAACCACTGCACATGATAGAAACTCAATAAATATTCACTGATTAAATTTTCAATATTTTACAAGATATATGCTCAGGAAAAGAAATTAGAGGGTTTTTAAGTCATTAAAACCATGAACAGTTACAAACTGTTCTTAACCTAAAAAGATTGTTTGAAATGTCAAGAATACTTTGTATTGAACAAAAACATGTTTCTTTCGTTTTGCAGAAATTTAGGACTATTTTGCTGAAAGCATTATTTCTGTAATTTTTATACATAATAGAAGGTCTGGATTTATTCAGTACTTCTATATTTCTGAAATATTTCTTTTTCCTATAGTTTGATTTCTTTGGAAAGAGTAATGGAAGAAGTGTAGTTTAGAATTTATAAAACTTAACTATTCTTTATTTAAAGCCATCACCACAACAAAATATGCTGTGTGTTTTTTAAAGGTAGGAGCCTCTTCTTTCTGAGCTTTCTTTTTTACATTTTAAGAAAACTATGCCATATCTGATTTTGGTGCATGCATATAAATCAGAGTTAAACTTTGTGGTCCTTTCTCTATCTTGTTACCATTTCAAAAAGTAATTCTCTGTCTAATGCTCAGAAGACACAGTGCCTAATTGCTCATCTGCATGACTCCATTAACTGTACAGTTCTGTCTCTCTTTGGAGTTGTCGGTATAGGCCAGCAAGTGAAATAATCTGTATGTACTGAATTCAAATGAATTTTCAGCTGCTGGAACTCATTGTGAATTCTTTTCCCTTTTTGTGTCTTTCAGAAGCTTTGCACCGCCCTTATGGTTGTGATGTTGAATCCCAGGCACTGAACGAAGCTATCAGGTGGAGTTCCAAGGAGAACTTGCTTGGAGCCACTGAGAGTGACCCTAATCTCTTTGTTGCACTTTATGATTTTGTAGCAAGTGGTGATAACACACTCAGCATCACTAAAGGTGAGGCTTCCATATAACATCCAGTTTCTATTAGTGGTTAAGAATAAAGGAGACTGTCTGGCTTCTGCCACTGACTATAATTAGCTTGCTGATTTGGGCCCAGATACTTTTGGTTTGTTCCTTTTTTTAGCTGTGTAAGAGTTCTGCCCTATAAAGTGTAACTCTATTTTTTAGGGTTTATTAAGGATAAAACTGAATTAAAACACCTTAGGAATTCTCAGAAATCTGTACTGTATATGTTATGTATGTAATATATATATGTGTACATATATATACTTTAAAATCTAAGTATGTTCTTGCCTCTTGAATCTATAAAGGCTCCCACTGGGGAAAATGTATTTCAGGATAATTTTTAAGTAAATAAAATTGGAACTTAAATGATTATTTGTCAAACAGATGCCTCTTGTTTGCAAGTTTCAGAATGGAGAATTAAATGAGAGTGGTCATTCCAAGAAGGCAGCCTGTCCCCACTCAAGGAAGGTCACCCATCTGTAAGGAAGGCAACCCTTCCCCATTTGAGGAATGCTACCCTTATATTTCTTGTCAGTATTTTCCAAGATAGCGTAGTCACCAAGGGAACATCGATACAGAAAGTCTTAATTTCTCATTTACGAGTTAGAGCAGCTGCTAGTCTACTGCTTAAGGACTAGGATTCCCTTTATCTATGGTCAAGAGTAGTTTCTCTTAAAATCCATGAAATGTCAGATTTTTCTTATCTCTCTTTCCCTTGTATTTTGGTACTGGTGCTCTGCCACTGAGCTACATCCCCAATCCTTTTTATTTTTTATTTTGAGGCATGGTCTTGCTAAGTTGCCCAGGCTGCCCTGCAATTTGGGATCCTCTGCTTCAACCTACCATGTAGATGGGATTACAGGTGTGTGCCTGGCTAGTTCCTTCTTCTTTGAAGGTGATACTTTGCTTACAGTAAAAAGAAGAATTCTGCTGAACTCAGTGCCTGCCTATAGCCTAGCTACTCAGTGACACTGAGATAAGACGATCATTTGAGCCCAAGACCTTGAGACTAGCTCAAGCAACAGGCAAGACTCTGTTCTTTTTAGAATTCCTCTGCCAATAGGCCCAATTTTTATGGTAGTCAAAATTTCTAGAGTTGAAAATTCTCCAAACTGCCAAAAAAAAAAAAAAAACCTGTCATGTTTGTATCCTAATTATGATGGTCTGTAATTACCAGTTCTATTTAAAGAAGGGGCAGTATGGAAATACACAAAACTTGGTCTTCTAGTTCTGTGGACTAATATAGAAAAGCAGAAGGGCAACAGATTTCCTATAAGTACAGAAATATAGTTGGCTAGTATTCATCTGTGCTCTCGTGCATGTCCACTGCCACAAAAGACACACTTTTGTCTGTGTACATTGTATGTATATTATATACCCATGTGTGTGTATACATGTGCTTTTGTGTTTTTCTTCCCATATAGGTGTTTCAGGTAAGATAGTAGGGGCTACAAAGTTATGCTATGGTAAAAGTTTCTGGAGGTCACTGGGAAAAGATAGATGGCTACCAGAGATTATTTTGAATTTTTCTTCAATAGCCTTTGACTGGTAACTTCTGGGCCATGTGATTGATTTGGCATCCTTCTGATTTTTGACCCTTAGAAAGTAGGAGTGAACTCTGAATAGAAAGCCTTGCATCTGTTAGAGATAAGAGTCTAAGGCACTATAATATTTCATTAGATTAACTTTTATGCATTACTAAATAATGCATAAATAGAGTTATATATTAGTACATAATAGAGTTATATATTAGTAATACTTATACATTACCTAAATAATAATGGTATCTTTTTTACCTTCCCTGTTTTGCCAAAGACACTTTTAATCTATACCTGAAAATATAGGGACAAAATGGAAAATGTACATTAAAATCTTAAGTTTATAATGGTGTATTAAGAATTGTAATGCAAAAATTAAAAAAAATCTAAGTTTTATGTTACAACTTTACTAGAGAAATCAAGAACATGGAAATTGTTAGCAAAGATTCACTAAGTGACTTGGAGTTTGGGTTCCATCTTCAAAGTCATCTTCCCTTTCCATATACTAATTTTAGAGGAAAAGATAGGGCATTCATTCTTTGTGGAGAGTAGGAGGGAAACCATAGCTATATTGGGAAACTATACCATCCTGGAAGTAGCTGAGCTTTGGGAGTCCTCTCTGCCTTCTCCTGCTCTCCTAGTTTTCTTAGAGAAAACATTGCTGAAAACTCTTTGTTCTTGTGTGTGTGTGTGTTTTTTTTAATTATTTGTTTATATCCGTAGTTTTGTTGCCTTGGTGCCAAATGATATTTAGAAGCAACTTGGTATTTCACATCTTACCTCTAATTCTTGATTATCATTATCATAGTAAGCTATTTTGAGGGAAAGTGAATTTTATTTTTCTTGCACTATCATTTTCTAGCCAGTTGAGTAACTGTTCTGTCTTGTATGTTTCTTAGCACCATAGAGGTTCTTGGGAACATTTCTAAGGGGTTATATAAACTTTTAAAATTTTGTAGTAAATGCCAGAAAATAATTTCTGTTCTTATAGTTCAAGCTACAAATCAGAGATCAATCAGGACATCGCCAGCTTTGTTATTTACAGAACATCTTGCCATCAAATTCTTATTTTCTTTTTAAGTGAGTTTCAAGTTTGACAATACACTGCATTGGTTTGAAATAAAGTCTTCTCTTTTCTTTTTGTTCTGTGATTATTTCGCGGTTAGGTGAAAAACTACGAGTTCTTGGTTATAACCAGAATGGCGAGTGGAGTGAAGTTCGTTCTAAGAATGGACAGGGTTGGGTGCCAAGCAACTATATCACCCCAGTAAATAGCCTGGAAAAACATTCCTGGTACCATGGGCCTGTATCACGCAGTGCAGCCGAGTATCTACTCAGCAGTCTAATCAATGGCAGTTTCCTGGTGCGAGAAAGTGAGAGCAGCCCTGGGCAGCTGTCCATCTCGCTCAGGTATGAGGGGCGTGTGTATCACTACAGGATCAATACCACCACAGACGGCAAGGTAAGACTTGCCAGTAACCACTGCTACTTGTGGACTGGCTGCTCTGTACAAAGAGTACTCTCACTGACTAAATATAGTTTTTTTTTTTTGGTCTCACATGAAATAAGATATTTGCTGAATTTGTGAGTTTAGGATATTTGTCATGTTAGAGCTTGCTCTTTTCAAAACAATAAAGTAATATAAAGTAAAAAGAGGACTATATTAATAGTTTAAAGATGAGTTACATGCGAAGGTAAAGAATGAAGGGAACTGCTATGTAAGCTGTTCTAATCATCAACACAAAAATATACACCCAGTATATTGACAAAGAATTTATATTAACCCTATTTCATGGAAAATAAAAATGATCTCTAGAAAGTTCATGGAGTATGAGTTAAGACTTTTGAGACTGGCGTTGATCATTAAATGTATGTTTGTATGTTGATATAAATAGATCATTTTAGTCATTTAGTAGTTTTTATGGTGGGAAGATCACAAATTAGAATGAACTTATTTATTTATTTGTATTTGGTGGGGGTACTGGGAATTGAACCCAGAGGCTTTAACCAGTGAGCCACCCTCCCAAGTCTTTTTTTTTTTTTTTTTTTTTTAAATCTTTTGAGACCAGTCTCACTAAATTACTTAGGGCCTTGCTAAGTTGCTAAGGCTGGCTTTGAACCAGAGACAGTTGCTGGGATTACAGGTCTGCACCACCATGTCTGGCCAGAATGAATGTATTTAGAATGGAATTATTATATTTTATAAATTAGGAAGTCTGAGAGCTTGTGTCAGTTCTTCTGTTGAAAATTTAGATCAAACCCTTTTTTCCATTTTTTTCCCTGTGTGATATGCATAACAGGGAAAAAGCATGGGCTTTAGACCAAGCATTCCTGTTTGCCTGTAATTTCAGATACTTGGGAGACTGAGGTAGACACAAGTTCAAGGCCAGCCTCGTCAACTTAGTGAGACCTTGTCTCAAAATAAAAAATAAGGGGCTGAGGATGTGGCTCAAGCAGTAGCATGCTCACCTGGCATGCGTGCAGCCCGGGTTCAATCCTCAGCACCACATACAAACAAAGATGTTGTATCTGCCGAAAATTAAAAAATAAATATTAAAAAATTCTTATTCTCTCTCACTCTCTCTCTTTTTAAAAAAATTAATAAAAATAAATAAAAAAGGCTGGGATTGTAGCTCAGTCATAGTATTCCCTGAGAGGGGAAAAATGTCCCACATTATAGGGTTGTTGTAAAGATTAAATAAAATAATTTATGTAAAATATAATAGCTGGTACAAAATAAGAAATAAATAAATTACTAGTTCTATTTCTCTTTTTGCCCCACCATACAGACATAGTATGTTGTATCATGGCCCAAGCAAATAGAATCAGTTGTCTAACAACAGTAGAATGGATTAACAAATTGTAGTGCGTTCATAAAATGAAATGTCTTTTAACAACAAAATAAACATAAAGTTCTATATCCAACACCATGTGGAAATCTATGGCTTACAGCTGCCTGCTTTTATAAGTAAAATTTTATTGAAATGCAGCCACATCCATTTATATATGTATTCATACATGTATTCATCTGTAGTTACTTTCTGTTACTAGGCGGAGCTGAATAGTTGTGTCAAGAGACCCTATGGCCAAAAGCCTAAAATATTTATTTTTTTACCTCTTTACAGAAAAGTTTGCTGGCTCCTGCTACAAAAAGTCTCATACACATGAAGCTGATTGAAAGAGATTAGTGATTGCCTGGGGGTCGGGATGTGGGGAAAGTGGGAATAATTACTGATAGGCATGGGTTTTCTTTGGCAGGGGGTGATTAAAAATATTCTGGAGTTGTGAAGGTTGGGCAGTATTAAAATACACTAAAAACTACTGGATTATAAACTTTAAAATGGTGAATTTTATGCTATCTTACAACACAAACGTTGAATGAAAGAAAGCAGACACCAGACATACTGTATAGTTAGTTCATTTGTATACTGTTCAGTCAGAGCTATCTAAGATGTTTGAAGTCAGCTAGTGGTTACCTTTGCAGGACTAAGTAGGTAGAGGGAGGATTCAGGAGTGCTTATGATGTTAAAATTTTTGGTGTGGGTGATATTTTCATGAGTGAGTTTATTTTATAAAAATCACCGATTCTCTATTTTTGATATGCTTTTCTGTATGTAATCAAGTAAAAGTTTCTTTTTTAAAAATAAGCTCCCATGGTAGATAAAGCCAAAGACTGCGTTTCTTTACATTTCTTATTGCTTATCACAAATAAACAACTGTTTTGTTAATAACCCTGAAACCCCAAATGTAGCATGCGCGGGCTTTCTTGTGCACTCTCTCTCTCTCCCTTTCTCTTTTTAAAAACAGCTTAGGCATTCAAGAAAACACATTGTAGCCTGTATTCCCATTGGCTCAGGAGGTTGGGTCAGGCGGATCACAAGTTCAAGGCCAGCCTCAGAAGTTAGCAGGGTCCCTTAGGGGACCATTAGTAATTATTCCCACTTTCCCCCCATTTAGTGAGACTCTGTCTCAACATAAAAAATAAAAGGCTGGGGATGTAGCTCAGTGGGGGCCTCGGGTTCAATCTCCAATACCAAACAAAACAAAACAAAAAAACCCTTACATGTTGTAATTAAAATGATTAAGATAATTAAATAAGAATCATAATGCCTTCCTCACCCCCCTCCAGTCTAAATCAGTGGTTATCAATTTATGTTCTTTGTAAGATTTGGGGGTAATATTTCATTAACTTTGACAGGAGACCAACCCCTGCTTATCTACTTTAATCAGAACATCTCTCTTTTTACCCACCTTATATATTTGGATTCTATAACATTATTGTTTAGAAACTACTTGAAGACCAGTGAGCTTGATGATCCAGAGAGACATGTTGGAAGTCTCTTTCAACTTTAAAAATAGGGAGTGATTTAAACATTAAACTGAAGTTCTGTTGTTGCCCCTGGCCATCAGCATTTAACGCAATTTACCTCAATTAAGATGTAAGGGGGGTGCCTGGGATTATGGCTCAGTGGTAGAGTGCTTGCCTACCATGGTGAGGCACTTCACTGGCTTTGATCCTCAGCACCATATAAAAATGAATTTAAATAAAGGTGTTGTGTTCATCTACAACTAATATATGTATCTTCCATCTTCATATTTTAAGGCTTTTTTAAAAATCCTAATGTCTTTCAAGTTTGTTTATTTTTTCTTTTTCACCAGGTGTATGTGACTGCTGAGAGCCGCTTTAGCACTTTGGCAGAGCTTGTTCACCATCATTCCACAGTGGCTGATGGGCTGGTGACAACATTACACTACCCAGCACCCAAGTGTAATAAGCCAACAGTCTATGGTGTATCCCCCATCCATGACAAATGGGAAATGGAACGAACAGATATTACCATGAAGCACAAACTTGGGGGCGGTCAGTATGGAGAGGTTTATGTTGGTGTCTGGAAAAAATATAGCCTTACAGTTGCTGTGAAAACACTGAAGGTGGGTTGCTGAGAATTACAGTTTTCAGGCATCTTTTTGCCTGTGTACTGAATCACTTGGAAGTACCAGTGTGCTCTTTTTTAACTTTGGAACACTTTTCCACCCACTGGTGCCAAACACATCAGCAAATCGTGATGATTAACCCTAGTGACATTGCTGACAACACAGGGCAGATTATTCACTGCAATGCAGTGAAACCCACATGTGGGAAAGGTTCATTTCTGGAGAATGTTTATGTAGATCTTGGTGGGAGTTGAAAAGCAAATTATAAGTTACAAAAACAAAACAAGCTGTTTTGCTTCCTGTCAAAGACCCCTGCTGGACAGAATTCTTCATGCATTGTCTATGAATCATGGGTCTTTCTTATTCTGTTCTATATCTCCCTGCCTCTTGCTCCTCCCATCTCCATGCAATTACATAGTTTTTTCTTGTTCTTAAGTTTGCAGAAATCTTTTTCCTGATACTACTCTCTCTTCTTTAAGCATCCCAGGATCAGATTACAGGGTCATCACTCATGGAATTTACTGATCTTATCCCAGAATCTCAGTGACTGGGAAATCACTCATACAGGTTACTTTCCAACAATGAGTAGTTGTCAGTTCTGTTTATTAAGCATAGTTTGAGTGTGAGACAATATGTGAGGCTTTGCAAATATGCATTGCTCCTTAAGTGTGTGATTTAATTAGAAGATAAACAGGTAAACAGCTAATTGCTCTTATCTTTTCATTGAAATGCCAAGGTATCTAAAGAAGTAAAGAATTTCCAATCTAAGTCTCCTGTGTTTTAGTTGATGTAGGATGTGCTATTGAATTTTGCTCACCCTCCTAGTTTTTATTCCAGTTTCTAATATTGGATAAATTCAGGAACTTCTGTTGAACATATTAAGTTGTCAGGAAAAAAAATTTTGGTTGTAATAAAATTTCTTAAAGTGAAATGCTAAAATATTCAAGGGACACTCCCTTTTACTTTTAAAACTAAAGCCATAGGGGCTGGGGATGTGGCTCAAGCGGTAGCGCGCTCGCCTGGAATGCGTGCGACCTGGGTTCGATCCTCAGCACCACTTACCAACAAAGATGTTGTGTCCGCCGAGAACTGAAAAATAAATATTAAAAAGTCTCTCTCTCTCTCTCTCCTCTCTCACTCTCTCTTTAAAAAAAAATAAATAAAGCTAAAGCCATAGAATTATTAGTTGATTCAAATGATTAAGATAAGGATCTATCTCTTTGGTTTTTTTTCTATCTTACCTTCCCTGTTTTCCAGGAAGATACCATGGAGGTTGAAGAATTCCTAAAAGAAGCTGCAGTGATGAAGGAAATCAAGCATCCTAATCTGGTGCAACTATTAGGTGAATAAACCCGAACCATAAGTTTTCATAAAGATGCTTGCCCCCAGCCCCTGTTGTCTTCTAATCATTCTTTGGAATCATTGTGATAAAAACTCCCAATGAGAATCCATTTCAGAAAATGGTTGTCATGGACTGGGGGTATAGCTCAGTAGTAGAATTCTTGCTTGGCATGCATTTGGCCCTAGGTTCAAACTCCACCACCACCACCACCCCAAATGTTATTTTGAACAGTAGGGGTTGGGTTGAAAACAAACAAACAAACAAACAAACAAAAACAGGGGAGGGCTGGGATATAGCTGACAATAGAGTGCTTGCATAGTACATATGAGGCCCTGGATTAAATACCCAGCAGTACCAAAAATAAAAAAAAAAAAAGACAGTGGCCTAGGTTCATTCTGTGTAGGAAACTGCCAAGCATAAATAAATGATGGCTGCCCCATTCAAAATTCAGAAGCATTCAAAATGGTACTAAGTCAAAAACTTACCACAATAATTTCACAAAATAAGGAAACTTTTACAGTAAAACAAGAAACAGATTAGAAAATTGTTACCACCCCCATCACTTTACCCAAGCAGGAAATACTATACTGTGATAGATTGATTTCACCCATTCAGATCACAGAGAAGCTTTTGACTAAACCCTTATTTTCTCTCTATAAAGTTGGGCCAGTTTCTGTGGATGTTCAAATAGAATCAAACTATCTGAAAGAAAATAATTTCTTGTTGGCTCTTCACGAGGAATCTGCTATGTGAAAATTCTTGACTATGGAAACAGTTAAAATCTTTTTACAAACTATTATTACTTCTAGATAAGCATTGTTAGAATGTAGTTGAGTGGGAGAATCAAAGGCATGTCCAGAACTCTATAAAATGTGGTCATCTTTTCCCATTGCGGAATTAACACAAGTACCTCTTTTACACAAAGGCAGATGAGTTTCCAGAGAATAATATAAATGGAAGCAAAGACTTCCTTATCAACCAATTTCTTAATTTTTGCTATGTTAATTTCACAGAATGTGGTAAAAATTAGCCAAACCAGACAAAGAATTGTTGAAATATTCTTGGCCATAATGACTTGGATTATTGGAATGTATACTAATAAAACAGCCTCTCTCTTCATCTATCAGGTGTGTGTACTTTGGAGCCACCATTTTATATTGTGACTGAATACATGCCATATGGAAATCTGCTTGATTATCTCAGAGAATGCAACCGAGAAGAGGTGACTGCAGTTGTACTGCTTTACATGGCCACTCAGATCTCTTCTGCAATGGAGTATTTAGAGAAGAAGAATTTTATCCATAGGTGTGTGAAACCTGTTATTGCCTTCTTGCTTGATATAAAGATGAAGAAAAGAAAACCTTCCCAGAAATTTTCAGATCATTAAAGAAAGTAATTATCTCTATCACAGGGCTCATTAAATGTAATTTCTAGCTTGTAAACTTATTGTGCTCTGATTAAAAGTACTAATGAGAGATCTTTGTTATTCTCAACATGTACTAGCTCCTATTTTTCCCAGCACTGTATCCAAGGTCCTTTTGCTCCATCTAGTGGCTGAATTTAAAAAAAAAAAAGTAGCATCTGTCTCTGGAAATATTTTGTTAATTTTTATATGGTGCTGAGGATAAAGCCTCCTAAGCATCTCTAACTTACTTTTAAAACCTGACCCAATACTTTTAAACCCATTTTATACAACCTGCTCTATCCTAGCATCATATAACTGCCTCTTGATGGCTGTTCTATAAGTGTTACAAATTTAGTGCCTTTTGTCTTTGTTAGTGATTATCATAAAATAACTACCATGATTGTTAGTACTTATCAACTCTTAGAGCACAAAGAAGCAAGAATAGAAGATTTGACCATTTTTCTCACCATGTGAGTAGGATCACATTAGAATTTATTCTCTTTCCCACAGAGATCTTGCAGCACGCAATTGCCTAGTGGGAGAAAACCATGTGGTAAAAGTGGCTGACTTTGGCTTAAGTAGACTGATGACTGGAGATACCTATACTGCTCATGCTGGAGCCAAATTTCCTATTAAATGGACAGCACCAGAGAGTCTTGCCTACAATACTTTCTCAATTAAATCAGATGTCTGGGGTAAGGTTGGAAGAGAGATTTTCCTGTGTGTCATTTTATTTTCTTTATATATCCTTTTAATTCCTTTGAGTTTCTCTTTTATATAACGTTTAAAAAGTCAATCAAAAAAGGGCACTGACCCTGGGCCTGGTATCTCATGTCTGTACTCCAGGAGGCAGAGGCATAAAGATCACTTGAGACTAGGAGTTTAAGAACAGCCTGGATAACATAACAGGACCCTATGTCCAAAAAAAAAAAAAAAAAAAAAAAGGTCTAGACCTTCAAAGAAGTCACAGAATAGAACTCATATGCATTGGAGTGCTAATGATCCATTCCTTGTAAAGCTCCCTGCTGTTCACATAGGTTTTATTGCTCATTTCCAGAGCATGTGACATAGAACACTCTTTTCAAGGAAGGCATGAGGAGGTTACATCTAGTATTAGTCCTTCTAATAGATCTTGTTTCTAGTACCCTGAGAGCAGAAGGACTTATTAGATAGAGTCTACCTAGCAGACTGAGCAAGTCTGAAAATGTAGATTGTGGGTAGGCAGAAATTGTTGTAGGATTCTAAGTCACTTCTTTCCAGAAAGCTCCAACTCAAAGATAATCAAATTGTGATATAATCAAGCAAATTCTTTTTTTTTCTACTGTTAATTTTGCCTGATTTTAAATGAATCTATTTTTCATTACTTTTCTGATTATTAGCCAACTTTAAAAATCATGTAATTCATTAAATAGATCAGAGACTGTTCTAAGAGTAGTTAGATTATGTCATAGGCTTTATATCATCTTAGTTTGTTATACTTTAGTGTAATAAAGGAAAAACCTAAATAAAAATTGTGAATTTTAGAATTATCCTGAGATTTTTTTTGGGGGGGGCAGCATTTCTGTGGCAGATACCTTAGACAAATAAATCATGCTATAAAAATTGGCAAAAGGGTATATTAATGTTGCTGTGTGATTATGAACCAAAAAAAAAAAAATTGGGTAGTGGGGTACTGGGAATTAACACTTTTTTTTTTTCTTTTGGTTCTAGCACTTTACCACTGGGATACATTCCCATCGTTTTTTAATTTTTAATTTTGAGATAGGGAGGCCCTAAGCAACTTAGCAAAACCCTAAGTTGCTGAGACTGACCTTGAACTTGAAGTCATCCTGCCTCAGCCTCCCAAGTCACTGGGATTACAGATGTACATCATCGCGCCTGACTGTGAATCAAAAGAGACCTTACCTAGTGATAGAAAAACAATAAGACAAAACACTAAGCTTTTTTTTTCTCCCCCCTTATTCCTTATGCAGCTTTTGGGGTACTATTATGGGAAATCGCTACATATGGAATGTCACCATACCCAGGTATTGACCTGTCTCAGGTCTATGATCTACTGGAAAAAGGATATCGAATGGAACAACCTGAGGGATGCCCTCCTAAAGTTTATGAACTTATGAGGGCATGTGAGTATTTGTGCATATTTTAATTTTGAAATGCCAACAAGTTGAGATGGTTAACAAAATTAGAAATATTCCTTTCGATATTAGATTGAATCTAGCTTCATGGCATTTTAAAAGTTTGTCATTTATCAGCTAGCTGAAACAGGATAGGCTCTACCAATGAGACTTACTAGAATCCTAAGAATAGTTGTCTGCAGCCCAAATATTGACCCAATTTCTCAAAAAATTGTATATTTAATAAGATCACAAGAATTGGGTTTGTAGAGGAGTGTTGAGTAGTAGATTAAATTACAATTGTGTTCAAATACAGGTTTTATATTATTTTCTCAGTGAGCATTGGCAAAAGTGAATTTTAAATGTTTCCTTTCTTGTACCCTATTAAATTTCTGGATATATTTGGACTTGTTTCTTCACAACGTTTAAAGACAGTTTTTACTTATTTCATTTTTCTGCTGGAAGAAAACTTGCCATTTTCTAAGTGATTTTATACCCCTTCTCATTTTTACAGTAGAGGGAATGGGAACTGAGGCTGGATAGAAGGACCAGCCTTACTAAGTGGATTCTTACACCTCTGGGTCTAGAACTGAGAGGTAGTTACATGTCTGCCATAATGAACATGTTGTAACTAATAAACCCACATCATGATGCATGAGCCTCATTGTCTGCTATGCCATTGGATATGTAATTCTGGCAAGGAACTAATTCTCTTCTGTCACATAGGCTGGAAATGGAGCCCTGCTGACAGGCCCTCTTTTGCTGAAACACATCAAGCTTTTGAAACCATGTTCCATGACTCTAGCATTTCTGAAGGTAAGAATCTGGTGGATTTAGTATTGGTAGCTAGTTCTGGCCTGTGGGGAGTGGTGGGTCATTACATTCCAAAAGTATTCAGCTCCTCTGGCCATGGTGACACTTGCTTGCCTATAATCCCTGTGACTTGGGAGAATGAGGCTGGAGGATCCGAACACAAGGCTAGCTTCAGTAAGTTGTCGAGATCCTTTCTCAAATTAAATAATAAAAAGGGTTAAGGGTGTAGCTCAGCAGTAAAACATTCCTGGGTTTTTTCGTACTGGCCCCAGTACCCAAGTAAAACAAAACAAAACAAAACAAAAAAAGGGATCTGCTCTTACACTTGACAGCTCTGTTTCAAGATATTTGGTTAAGGCTGGGATTGTGGCTCAGTGATAGAGTACTCGCCTAGCACATGCGAGGCCTTGGGTTTGATCCTCAGTGCCACATAAAAAAATAATAAATAAAATAAAGGTATTATGTTCAACTACAAGTAAAAAATAAATATTTAAAGAAATATGGTGTCTCAAAAATAAAGTAGTCTCTTCATAAAGAAAATAAGTTTGAAAATTCTTTATGTATCAACATTTATGATAAAGGGAAGAAAAAAAGAAAAAGTAATATGAAAATACCAAATTATTTGAACCACATACCAAGTCATAAAAGCAATATTTAGGGCTGGGGCTGTAGCTCAGTGATGGAGCACTTGCCTAGTATGTGTGAGTCACTGGATTCAATCCTCAGCACCATATAAAAATAAATTAATAAAATAAAGTTATTGTGTCTAATAAAAGAAAGCAATATTCTATCATTCATCTTCTAGAAATATATCTTAGCTACAAGGTATAAAAATTTAAGAACAACCAAACATCTTCTGTGCTGTTAATTATTATAGTATTATTGAATACTTTGAATTGTATTCTTAGGGCTGGGGATGTGGCTCAAGCTGTAGCGTGCTGCCTGGCATGTGTGCGGCCCGGGTTCGATCCTCAGCACCACATACCAACAAAGATGTTGTGTCCATCGAGAACTAGAAAATAAATATTAAAAATTCTCTCTCTCTCTCTCTCCTCTCTCACTCTCAAAAAAAAAAAAAAAAAAAGAGAAACGGGGACGTTCAATTAAAAAAAAAATGAATTGTATTCTTAAACCTGTTGGCATGGAAAGAGGTTTAGAAGAGATAAATTAAGCTATCAACAGAGATAAACCACTTCTTATTTAAAAAACAAGGTATGGGCAGGAATGGTGGCACAACACCTGTAATCCCAGCCACTCGGGAAGTTCAGGCAGGAGATTAGCGAGTTTGAGGCCAATCTGGGCAATTTAGTGAGGCCCCAAGCAATTTAGTGAGCTTAAAACCATCCTCCAGCTTCAGCTTCCCAAGCAGCTGGAGCTGTAAGCATACACCACTGCACCCAGGTGAATTTTATACTTTAGCAATCTATTCTTCATTTCTTTCTCAATTGTATGGTTTTTGATTTTTCTTTTCCTTTCTTTCTTATTTTGGTATTAGGAATTGAACCCAGGGGTGCTTGACCTGAGCCACATCCCTAACCCTCCCCCCATTTTTAAATTTCTTTAGTTGTTTTGGTTTTTAATTTGTTATAATCCCAGCCCCTTTTATATTTTATGTTGAGACAGGGTCTCACTAAGTTTCTTAGGGCCTTGCTAAGTTGCTGAGTCTGGCTTTGAACTCACGATTCTCCTGTCTCAGCTTTCCATTAGTTGTGTGTTTTTTTTTGTTTTTTTTTTTTTTGAAAAGAAAAACTCCCTTTCTCTGTCATAAAATTATTCTTTTCATCAGGCCTCTTGTCTTCTTCACAGAGGTAGCCGAGGAGCTTGGGAGAGCTGCCTCCTCCTCGTCGGTGGTTCCATACCTGCCCCGATTACCTATACTTCCTTCCAAGATGCGGACCCTGAAAAAACAGGTGGAGAACAAAGAGAACATTGAAGGAGCACAAGATGCCGCAGAAAATCCTGCCTCCAGTTCAGCACCAGGTGAGGCCTGAGGAGGTAGAACCAAAGCTGAAACTGCCTTTTTTAAAGAAGCGTAGATACGATGCTTTTGTGCCCGTTTTATGCCCGTCTTCCCTGAAGACAGTGTGGCCTCTGTTCTACCTCTAGTGCTGGTCCTGCATTGCTATTGCTAGTAGTTCTGATCTGTCTGTCCAACATAAGACTCTGCCACCGGCTCCATTTCCTCAGCCCTGGCTCCTGCATAGTTACCATCTTTACAGTTCTGGTGAAAATGTCTTCATTAAGCCGGATAGGTGATGCTAGATACATTTGTTTTTAGAAACAGAATGAATACTGAGGTAAGAACCAGCAGGGTATTTCCCCTCACTTACACTCACACCACATTTGGAACGGTAATCACCATGAAATGATAATGTATTTATTAATTTCCTCTAAGTACACCAACACTTGACACTTTATTGATGCTGACAAAATTTTACAATTCAGTCTTACTCTAATGGATTCTCTTCTTGTCTTTTACATCATACTGATTGTCCATTTCTCATTAGGGTTCATTAGAAGTACACAGGCCTCCAGTGGGTCCCCAGCACTGCCTCGAAAACAGAGAGACAAGTCACCCAGCAGCCTCTTGGAAGATGCCAAAGAGACATGCTTCACCAGGGATAGGAAGGGAGGCTTCTTCAGTTCCTTCATGAAAAAGAGAAATGCTCCCACACCCCCTAAACGCAGCAGCTCTTTCCGAGAAATGGAGAATCAGCCCCACAAGAAATATGAACTCACGGGTAACTTCTCACCTGTTGCTTCTCTACAGCATGCTGACGGGTTCTCTTTCACTCCTGCCCAGCAAGAGACGAACCTGGTGCCACCCAAGTGCTATGGGGGGAGCTTTGCACAGAGGAACCTCTGTAATGACGACAGTGGCGGGGGTGGGGGCAGTGGCGCTGCTGGGGGTGGGTGGTCTGGCATCACAGGCTTCTTTACACCTCGCTTAATCAAAAAGACACTGGGCTTACGAGCAGGTAAACCTACAGCCAGTGATGACACTTCCAAGCCTTTTCCAAGGTCCAACTCTACATCTTCCATGTCCTCAGGGCTTCCAGAGCAGGATAGGATGGCAATGACCCTTCCCAGGAACTGCCAGAGGTCCAAACTCCAGCTGGAAAGGACAGTGTCCGCCTCTTCTCAGCCAGAAGAGAATGTGGACAGGGCCAGTGACACGCTTCCAAAAAAATCAGAGGAAGGTGCTGCTCCAGCCAGGGAGAGACCAAAAGCCAAACTGTTGCCCAGAGGAGCCACAGCACTTCCTCTGAGAGCCCCTTCTGGGGACCCTGCCATGACCGAGAAGGACTCTCCAGGGGTGGGAACGGCTGGAGTGGCAGCTGCACCCAAGGGCAAGGAGAGGAATGGTGGGGCACGCCTTGGGACGGCTGGAGTCCCGGAGGATGGAGAGCAGCCAGGCTGGTCTTCTCCAGCCAAGGCTGCGGCCGTCCTTCCAACCACTCACAACCACAAAGTGCCAGTCCTCATCTCGCCCACTCTCAAACACACTCCAGCGGACGTGCAGCTCATTGGCACAGACTCTCAGGGGAATAAATTCAAGCTCTTATCTGAGCATCAGGTCACATCCTCTGCAGACAAGGATCGCCCCCGACGGGTAAAACCAAAGTGTGCCCCACCTCCACCGCCGGTGATGAGACTCCTGCAGCATCCGTCCGTGTGCTCAGACCCTGCGGAAGAGCCAGCTGCCCTGACTGCAGGACAGTCCACGTCAGAAACACAGGAAGGAGGGAAAAAGGCAGCTCCAGGGGCAGTGCCCATCAGTGGGAAAGCTGGGAGGCCGGTGATGCCTCCACCCCAAGTGCCTCTGCCCACATCTTCCGTCTCGCCAGCCAAGATGGCCAATGGCACAGCAGGTACTAAGGTGGCTCTGAGAAAAACCAAACAGGCAGCTGAGAAAATCTCAGCAGACAAAATCAGCAAAGAGGCCCTGCTGGAATGTGCTGACCTACTGTCCAGTGCAATCACAGAACCTGTGCCCAATAGCCAGCTGGTCGACACTGGACACCAGCTGCTCGACTACTGCTCAGGCTATGTGGACTGCATCCCCCAGACTCGCAACAAATTCGCCTTCCGAGAGGCTGTAAGCAAACTGGAGCTCAGCCTGCAGGAGCTGCAGGTGTCCTCAGCAGTTGCTGCTGTGCCCGGGGCAAACCCTGTCCTTAATAACTTACTGTCCTGTGTACAGGAAATCAGTGACGTGGTGCAGAGGTAGCCACTGTTAGTCTGGTGGGAAAATGCGTACACATTTCTGGGGGAGAGGGAAAGGGACATGTTTTCCTGTGTTCTTGTTTTCAAAAAATGAAAGACTGATACTTGAGTGTGTTTATGTGAAGTACCTCAGATCCCTGAGTTCTCACGTTTACAGGTTCATCTCAAAAATAAAACACAAATCATGTGAACATAGGAGAGGTGAATTAGGTAGGGGCAAGGCAGTGGTAGACAAGGAAATGCACCAGAATTCGGGGAACTTGGGTGTGACAGAAATGCAGTCCGTCCTTACCTGGAACCCTGTGAGGTGCTGGACTGGGCCACTGGTCAGCACTAAGGGTGAGTGTGCCCCGGTTCACCTGGCAGCTTCGGTGGGATAAGAAAAGGAAAGCTGGGCCTGTGCCAAGAGCAGGTTTGCTCCAGGCCAGCCCTGTTATCTTTGCTTCCACAGGTCATTGCTGCTGCGGTAAGAACTGCGGGTCAGGTTGCTAGAACACAGACCAGGAAACGTGACCGCCTGCCTGCCCCTGTCTGCCTGCCTTTGGTGCATTGGTGCAGGGGGTAAAGAGTGCTGGGAGGTGTCATCTGGGAAGTTGAAGCCTCCTCCTGAATTGCTCCTTATCGGTCCCATCCCCAGTCTGATACATTATTCATGGACCAGGACTGGCTGACTGCTTGTTGGTGGCTGTCTGTTTACTGTAGGTGTAGGGGTCTCCTTAGTGGTTCTGCCCTGTCCCTTGCAGGGCAGGCTGTCTTCCTTTATTTCTGGCAGCATTCAGGGCATTCACTCATTGATCTTGAAAGCAGGGGTCACTGCAGGTTCTCACAGGGGAAGCCTTTTCTGACATAGTGCCCCTGCATATTGACACACTGGCCGAGGACTGCATATTTCTTTACCTACTAGAATACCAAGGAGGTGGTCCTTTCTTGAAACTGCACAGCCAAGCCTGTGACAGAGGAGAAGCTGGCTTGGTTGTAATGACTGTTTCTCCCTCCCTCATCACCTTCAGCCCAACCGGGTAGACAGTAGGGGAAGGCATCCCCCAGCCCTGCACCCCCCCTCCACCCCACTTGAATTATCCCATTATGCTTTTCTCTTCTCACATATCTGCCCCATTCCCCATCGTTGTACTTGTGTAGTTCATGTTGGGAATATTCTGTATTTATTTTACCATTTCATCTCTGTTTTAAGAGTACGTAATTGAAGGAGTAGGTCCTTTTCAGGGAGTACCAGTTAGATCCTGGAAACCTAATGACTTACCCTTAAATAGATTTTGTCCTTGAAAAATAGGCCTTTCTCTTCCCTATTCAATATAATTATGGAAAACTATGGCATAGAGTTGAGTCTAATGGGTTAAATATTATTAATGTTCTTGGTATCAGGTCTAATTCCAGTTACTGCTTCATTCTTTTTAGAAAGCTTTATGAACCCTCCCTCCATTCACAGGGAGGAACCAGTACAAAGAGAACCCAGTACAAAGTATTTTTATTTTCTTCTCCCAAAGGAATATTAGCATAGGAAGATAGGAATTCAACATTGAGCAGAGAGTTTTCTTCCTGGCTGTCCAATCGATCCCCTGTCAGGCCTCAGCCCTGTCTCTTAATCCATTAAATGATGGTAACAGTGCATGTTCTCAAGGGCGTTTTCAAATAAATGTATAGCTAACCCTTTGATAGCCTCCCTGGAAAGCTCTTTAATGCATTGTTATGTTGAATTGTTTTTCTTTCTTTGCAGAGTAGCAGATGCTACTGAATTTAGAACTGCTGAGCTTGTGTTAATTAAGCTAGAATACTGAGGAAGAAACTGTTTTCATCAGAGTTTGGCATTTTTTTGACCAAGTTAGTTTTTTATCACTGCTGCTCCAAAGGAGGCTCAGGTTAAGAGAAGGATTCGCAGGGAGGAGACAGTACCAGGTATGCTGGCAGGTGTTGAGTGATCCGTGTCAGTATGTGACCAGTAGCTGTAACAAAAGCAACTGGTGGTCCTGTTAATATCTTTGTAGTAATTGGAAGAGAACTTGGATTTAAAACCACCCTTTTTCCTTACTGCTCCCCCTTATCAAATACCATAAACTTGAACTTATTTTAGTAGTTAGTCTTTTAAAGGTGGAGAAGAGAAAGCTGAAATTTAGAATATTGTTATGCTGCTTTTTAAGTTTATCCCTGCCATTGTGGAATGCAAGTTAAGGGATTATAATTGTTTTCAGGGGATTTTTTTTTTTTTTTAACAAAGGCTCTATTTTTTCTTAAGAGTTCTGAAAATAAGCCTTGCAGAAACACTACTGAGTGTATTTCAGCTCCCTGGTTTTCTCACTGAAAAAACGATCTTGAGGATGGTGGGTGGGGGGCTGCATCTTACTCAGGGCAGCACCTATTTCTGTCTTGCTTACAGTGGGTGCTCAATAAATCCATAAATTGAATTGATTCTTCTCAGCACTGTCACAAGTAGCATTAACTATCGCAGCACACCCCATCCACATGATGCTTGGACTGTGTGACGTCAGGGGTGAGGGCTCAGGGCTCAGGTTGAAGAGGCACTGTCAACTTGCTATAAAAGTACAAGTTATGATTATGCTTGTAAAGGACCAGTTTTAAAGAGAAAAAAAAAAAAGAATCAAAACTTTATGTGAATTAAAAGGTTTGAATCCAAAGCAGAGAAAACTGCTTCTAGAGATTAAAAATGTCGTTTAATTTATCTAATCTAAAAGCAGGTAGTAAAGGAAAAGGCCTTGTACATTGTGTTGACGAGTGTCTGAAGTGCTCTATAGATGCGCATACCTTTGGGTTGCCATGGCGTGTTTTCCTTTCATGTACAGGTAATATGATTTGAGTTTAAATTTTCTACCTTAAAATGCAATGTTTTGTGTTGACTATATGAATTGTGCATTACACAGAGTTTTTTTCTAAAAGGCTTTGTGTAAAGTTAACATGTACAGTTTTTCCTACAGACTCCTATCATGACTTTCAGAGATACAGCCTTAAAAATTTTGGCCCTGATGGGGTGCAGTGGTGCACACCTATAATCCGAGCCACTTAAGAGGCTGAGACATGAGGATCATAAATTTGAGGCCAGCCTCAGCAACTTAGTGAGGCCCTCAGCAATTTGCAGCATGTCTCCAAAAACAAAAGGGCTGGGGATGTAGCTTAGTGGTAAAGTACCCCTGGATTAAGTACCCAGGGCCAAAAAGATATTTTATGTGTTCTTACAGTGAACTTGATACCAAGCTGTGAGCTCTGTTATGCAAGAATGTTTTTCTAGATGACTTATATATACATAGAGGTCATTAAAGCTGACACCCTTTCCCAGATGCATTTTAAGGTTTAAATTAGAAATTTTCTTACAATTCAATTGAAAGTTGGCAGTAAAATAGTTCTTAGTTCATAAAACATGCTGCCTATTCTAAGGCACAGCCCATGTTTATTTAACTAAAGTCAGATCTTTTGCGTTTAAAAGATGCAGTATAGATAGTGGTTTAGAGTTCGGGCTCAAAACCAGTGAAGAAGACAAGTCATTTAACTTTGTTGAGCCTCAGTTTCCTCGTTGTAAAACAGGGATGATAATAGTAACTACCTCAGGGTTGTTGTAAGGATTAAATGAGGTAATGTTTATAAAATCCTTAGCTCAAGTGCCTAGCACACAATGGCACTCCATAACTGTCAACTAGTATTATTATTAACACTTAATCCAGGAAAGTACAACAGAATCGTTTAGGGTTTTTTTTTGTTTGTTTGTTTGTTTTTTTTTTTTTTTAAGAAAAACTGATGAATTATTCCCATTCCAGATCAGAATTCCCAGTGGGGTGAGATCTCAGCCAGTGTGCTTTCAAAGAATCTCACCAGGTATTTGAGATACCCAACACTATCTGAAAACTGTCAGTGACCTTTTCTTCATAGATTAGGAGATCAGGAGGAGAGGATGGTCAAGTCACTCTAGCATTATCTTAACAGTCAATGACCGGGCCAAGGCTGAATTCAGGGCTTCTGACTGCTGGTTGTGGCTCTTCACCACACCTGCTGCCTTGTGGGACACTGTGAAGAAAGTGGCTCAGAGAGACAATCAGTGTGCAGGGCGCTGCACGCTCTCTAAAGCACAGGCTTGTGGCACACTCTGACCCTCAGGGGCTTGACTGTTGAGAAATGGCAGCTCTGGCAGAGCAGCATTCAGGAGAACTCCGTGATTTAAAAGATTATTTGGGGTGGTTCTTTTGGACTGATCTCACCAACAACCGTCTGCACTTTGTAGTAAAGGAATATCAACTTAAAAGTTGTTTTTTTTTTTTTAACTAGTCCTACATTCCTTTTTCTTAAACGACTTTATTGTTCAATATCACTTTAATGACTGAGTTAATGTATATGAAAGCACTTTGGAAAAGTATCAAATCTAATATAACTATAAAGTTGTATTATGAATGTCTGTGTAGAAGAGAAAACATTTCACTAGTGCTGATTGGCCTAAACGCTTTTACCTGGGGGGGGACCTGAAACTGCAGCTATATGAAGAATCACCTGTGTAATTTATACATTTATAAACATGAAACTGCTACAAGAATATGTGCAGGTATAGCACATGGTTTGCTACAGTTGTAGTTCAGAGCTGAATAAATTCAGGAAAATTAGGGACCAACTTTTTGGTTTAATTGTGCTCTTTAAAAAGTAATGAAGTGTACTTGGCTTCAGAATACAGAAGCTCTTCTGGGGACCTTGGCTCAAGAAGGATGAGGCCTCTTACTCTTGAATATTTGTCTACAACCTGCCCAGCCATTGGTATCCTAAATGTGGTGGAGCAGACTCGTTATCTGTTGGTGTTGACAGTGTCTTTTTTAACCTACGTCCTTTGTGGATTTGGAGGATGCATGGGGCCAGGGCATTGGGTTATTACTTCTAGGATTTCCTACTAGTTGTGACATTGACATTTATCATCTTTGTTTTTATCCCAGGAAGAGTAGATGAACTTAATTTACCTGTTAGATTATTAAATACTGAAGAGTAAATTGCAGTGGGACTGATGTGGGTTACAGCTGTGCTTCATTTTGACCCCTTCCACCCCTTTCCATTTTTGCTTGCATTTACCTGTTCCACCTGGACTGGGGTCCATCTTTGTATCTCAAGCATCTGTTATGACCAGTCCTTCTTAAGTAGGTGGGTCTCTGGGTTAAGTTTCCTTTCAGGGACCGATAGACTCCCCAGGCTATATTTCTTATTAAGTCAGTAGCCCAGCTTCTTTGAAAATGCCTACTTCAGTTTGTGGGCAAGCGAGAGATCTAGGGATCTTCCATGTGACAACCTGGGGAAACTGCTGGCTACAACCTCACCAGAAAGGCCAGGTCTTGGGCTGGTTCTAAAACTTCTGTTCTTAACAGGATATCTACATCTTTTGTATAGAGTTCCAGTTTTCTAACTTCCAGACTTTTCAAAGTCCAATAATTCAAGGCCAGCTTTTTGGGGGTTGGGTGCCAGTCAGCAGTGCCTGGAGTAATGGTGACTGTTACTGCCATGTTAAGCACAACCTCACTGCCATCCCTACCCTCCTCTTAGGAAGCATGGGCAAGTTTCAGGGCTAGGGACTGGACATGAGTGTGGGCACGATAGTATTTCCTTTGTTTCTGACTCATGATCCTAGATGTAAAGGCCAGGAAATGAGGAAGCTCTAGCCTTGTAATTGGGGTGAAAGAAGATCCTGTGCTTCTCCTTGAGTAAGGAAGCCTACAGCAGGCATCTGGATTCTAAGCTGACTTGGAGCAGCAGAGGCCACCCATAAAGATTTGTACCTTCAAAGATGGGTTTATGATTTTTGCAGTAGAAAAGGTTTGTCTGCTCGGTTGCCGTCATGATTGAGCTAGGTCTGGGAGAAATGGGCTTCAGTGGAGTTCAAAGCCTCAGGCGGTGAGACTCCGCAACTGAGGGCTTTCCTCACAGCTAGCCCTGATGGGAAGGAATGCTACAGGTTTCTCTGTCCCTGAGTGAGCCCAGGGAGGGGAGCTCTTCCTAGACCCTGTCCCCCCCTCCAGATGCATGCACTTCTTTCCTCCTATGTACAGCTATGGATTTGAAATTGTTTACCTCTCCTAGGAAAATGTCTTTTCACCTCCCCATTACTAATCAAACTGAACACGGTAGCAAAGCCCTTTCAACTGGGACAGAGTGGACAGATGGCATGTTGAGTGGGTCTTCAAACCTGCAGACCATATAAGGGGACACAGTCTTTAAGTTGAAAGGCTAGGCACAGTCTTGTCCCCAGACTAGACCACGTTTAGGGCAGAATTGTGATACCTGAACTCTGCACTTTCTGGGAGATTCTTTTTTCACCATTGCAAGAGCAAATTTCAAGGTCGTATGTTTCTGCAAGTGACTGAGCTGTGCACACAGAGCTTGAGGTCTCCGAACATACTACTTAACCCTTTAAGGAGCTGGTAAAGGCAAACTGTCACATGCCAACAAACGTTATAAAGGAAATGCAGGAGTTCTTTGGTTGGAACTGGGTTAGATTTGCTTCTGAGCCTCAGAATAGGAGGTTTAAATCATGTTTAGGTACCATAAAATTTAGTTGGAGAAGAGGACTTGTGCTTAATAATTTTTTTCCACATATGGGTACCTAATTTTCATTAATTATTATACAACAAAAATAAGTAAGCCAAATAAATTTAATCTTGTTTAGAAATTGAACGCATGATGCTCAGTGAACTCCAAGTACTGCTCTGTCGTTTTTAAGTCCCACACCATGTATTGTGCGTGGCAAGAATGCAGAGAGAGAGAGATCTGAGAGACACTCCTGATAGATGAGGGCTCCCTAAACCAGCTTTCTTCATTTAGACAGCCAGTTTTCATTGTGGCCACTTGGACTCCATTATGAGAAGAATTTTCTGAGATCTTGAGAAATCACCTTGATCAGGCTGACTGTCTTCCAGGGAATTAGTATACAGAAATAGAACAATGAGGCACTTACCTTGTAGTTCCCTAAAGAACTGTGTTTGAAAACCCTCCCCTCTCAGACCTGTGCACACATTTATGTAGTCAGCGCACGCGCACTGTTGTGCGCCCGCCCTGAGAAGCAGGGGTGTAAGTGCAAGGGGAGTGAGTCGCATCTTGCCTTGTGCACAGGGGCAGTGGCGGGGTTGGTGTGTGGGCCACAGGCAGGCTGGCTGAGCCACTGATGCAGACACAGCCCGTCTCCCTCACAGACCCTGCACTTTTCCTTCTTTGCTTTCTGACTTTATAAAGACTATCAGTGGAGAAACCCCAGTTTTGTGCTTGCTTGATTAAAAAAAAAGTTTGGACATTTCATGGTTGTTGACAGAACTTTGTCCTGAAACATGCTAATTCAGAAAAAGTGTTCAATGTTTATACCAAAGGTTACGCTCTGCAGGTGTGTGGTGCACAGAGGGTGCTATGTGTTGCTACGGGGACACAGTGCACAGTGAGACAGTATGCGATTTAACTGAAAACACTTCAATCATGGGTCACACTACCAGTGTTGTCAGGTATTTGTTCTTTATTGTTATTGTAATATATTTTCAATTGTTTTTCTAATTTAATTCTCACTCTGTTGTCTGACTGTGAACTGCTAACAGTGTTAAACTTGATGTAAATAAATAATGCCCTTGAAAGGGACTGCTCTCTGCCTGTCGTCTCACAAGGTTTGCAAGTTGTGTTTTGTTTTAAATAAAGGTTGCAATATTTTATTGACAAAGTGAACTTGAGTTTGAAGTGTTTCTCCCATGATTTTAATTGACAGGAAATCTAAGCAGAATTTCTCTAAATGTCATTTTTAATGTAAAGAAGCGGATTTTAGCAAGCATCCCTCTAGTGAACTCTAGAGCGAAGGGTAAATCTCATCCTTTGGTGGTTCACATTTTTTACCTAAGGCCTGGAGCCAGGCTGGTGTACATAAGGTAGGTAGTGTGACTCTCCAACGTGAGATGACTATAAAAGCAAACCTGACTCAAAATCCATCCTGAGTGGAAGAAGAACCGAGACAAGTCACGGGAGGAGTTCCACTTTATTACAAAAAGCTATGGGCTTATAAAGATCTAAGGAGAGGTGGCAGGGCTTAGGAGAATGACGGGTCACTTGTTTATTGGTAAGTTCTTCCAGATGTCAGTTCCGAGGCCCACAAAATTAGTTCCTATTGGGGCTAAGGTTTCCCACTAGCCGGGTTTGAATATTGGCGCCGCTGGTGTGAAAGAGAAAGGAAAAGAAGCTCCTCAGGCACCATATTGGGGTTTTTGGGGTGTGGCTGCCGTTATGCCTTTTCCCAACACTGAGGACAATACCAAGTTCTAAAAATACTCTGAGCCAAAGTAACATTAATAGGATAAATATAGACACACAGGAGGGAACTTTCTTTTCTTTTTCTTTCTTTTTTTTTTTTAACTACTGAGCCCTTTTTATTTTTTCATTTTGGGCAACTTAGTGAGACATTGTCTCTGAATAAAAAAATTTAAAAGGCCGGGGATGCAACTCAGTGGTAGAGCACTTTCCTAGCACATGCGAGGACAATATCTCAATATTACACACATCACTCCTGATTTTTCTATGTTGACTTTGTATCCTGCAACTTTACTAAATTTGTTTAACAGTTGGAGTGTTTTAAATTATTTTTAAAAATTTTTTTAGTGGAGTCTTAGGATTTTCTCTTGTCATCTGCAAACAGTGATAGTTTAATTTCTTCCTTTCTAAGTTGGATGCCGTCTCTTTCTTTCTCGTGCCTGATTGCTCTGGCTAGAACTTGCAGTACTACGCTAATAGACATGAAAGGACGTACCCTTGTCTTATCATGGGCCATACAGGAAACACTTTCAACATATGAGCTGTGGACCTATGATATATGGGTTTCTGTACCTAATTTGTTGGGAGCTTTTATCATGAAGGGATGTTGATTTTGTCAAATGATTTTTTTTCTACATCTCTTGAAGTGATCATATGGTTTTTGTCCTTCATTCTGTTGCTGTGATGAGTCACATTTATTGCTTTGCATATTTTGAACCACCTTGCATACCTGGGCTGAATCTTACCTGGTCATGGCGGGTGATCTCTTTAATGTGCTATTGAATTTGGTTTTGTAGTATTTTTCTTTTTTTTTAGGGTTTTTGTATCTATGTTCATCAGGGTTATTGGCTTTTACTTTTCTTTTATTGTTATACCCTTGTCTGTTTTTTTTTTCCCCCAAGTCTGGAAGTACACCCTCCTCTTCAGTTTTTTTTTTTTTTTTTAATTTTTTTGGAGTAGTTTGACTAAAACTGATGTTCTTTAAAGGGAAGAATTCAGCATGAAGAGCTCGGTTTGATGGGTGACTTTTGTTGATCCAATCTCATTAATCCTTCTAGGCGTACAGATTCTCTGCTTCTTCATGATTCAATTCTTGGTAGGTTGTGTATGTCCAGGAGTGATTCGTTGGTGTTTAATTGTTTATAATGGTTTCTTATGATCTTCTGTGTTTTTGTAGCATCTCTAGTAACGTTTCCTTTTTCATTACTGTTTTTATTTGGTTCTTTTTTCTTAATCTGGCTAAGGTTTTTATTATGTTTATCTTTTGTGGGTGGGTGGGGACCAGGGATTGAACTCAGGGGCACTCGACCACTGAGCCATATCCCCAGCCCTATTTTGTACTTTATTTAAAGACAGGGCCTCACTGAGTTGCTTAGCACCTCACTTTTTTTGGCTGAGCCTCTGGGATTACCGGGTTGCGCCACTGCTCCGGCTGAGACTTGTTTTGGGTCTAACTTGTGATCCATCCTGGAAGCCGCTCCAGATGCAGTTGAGAAGGATGTGTGTTCTACAGCAGGCGAGTGCAGAGTCGCATACATGTTGTTAGGTTGTTTGGGCTGGAGTGCAGTTTAAGTCTGGCCTTTCCTTGTCGATTGCCGTGTGGATGATCTGTCCATTGCTGAACTTGGGGTGTTGAGGTCCCCCACCCATTATTTTCTCGCAGCCCCGCTCTCCGTTAGCTCTATTGGTGTTTGCTTTGTGTACTCAGGTGCTCTGATGCTGGGTACCTATGCACTCACAGTCATACCTCTAGCAGGACTGTCCCCTTGATGACAGTGTGATGCCCTTTTGTCTTTTTTTATGGTTTTTATTTAAAGTCTGTTTTGTCTGATATACTCCTGCTCTTTGGTTTCCGGTCGCATGGAATCTTTTTTTTTTCCCCGTCACTCCCTTTCAGTCCACTGTGTCCTTACCAGTGAAGTGACGCTCTTGAGGACACATGGAATCTTTAGCTTTTAATCCACTGTGTCTTTTAATTGGAGAACCTAATCCATTTACATTCAAGGTGATCATCGAGAGGTGAGGACTACCACTGCCATTTTGTTGTCTTCTAGTTGTCTTCTATTTGAAGCACCTGCACATCCTGTCTTCATCTCTGGAAGTGGACAGAAGGCATTCTCTGGAGCCCAGGCTGGTGCCCAGGTGAATTTTTTTTGTGTGTATGTGTATGTGTTTGTGTTTGTGTGTCTCCAACATGAGTTGATTACAAAGAGACATTTAATTATTTTAAAATCCATTCTGAGGACAACTTCAATTAAGTTCTAAAAATGTTTTGAGGCAAAGCAGTATTAATAGATTAAGTGTAGTTCCTTCTACAGGAAAGTTCTATTCTTGTTTGACTTGGTCTTAAATTTTAACAAGTGTCATTGCCTGCATTAGGCACTTGTGAAATGTGTGTAAGTGGCAGGCAGGAGCATGTTGGGATGTTTGCTTTTTTTTTAATACTTATTTTTTGGTTGTAGTTGGATACAATATTTTTATTTTATTTTTGTTATTCCCAAACCTTTCCCAGGCCCTCCAGAGTTTGTGCTGACATGTTGACTCTTGAAGAACGGGGCCTGGCTGCCAGAGGAAGCCACCATGTGCTCAGAGGTCTAGAAGCTTCAGCCCCGCTCCCTGACCTGTGGTGGGAGGAGAAGGCTGGATTTGGACTTCATCACCAGCGGCCAATGATCTCATCCCTTGTGAATGCACAATAAAGCCTCCATAAAAACCTCCAGTGCCAGGCTCAGAGAGCTCCGGGCTGGCGAACGCAGGAGCACAGGGAGGGTGGCGCCTGGAGCAGGCTGGAAGAGCCGCAGTGCAGCTGGCGCCCAGGCTCTGCTCAGAGCCTCTCCTCCTCTGGCTGCTCCTGAGCGGTATCCTTTGTAACAGGCCAGCAACAGTGAAGGGTTCTCCTGTATCTCCAGGGCTGTGGGCACCTTGACTTGTAACCAAGTTGGACAGAAGTGTGGGTAACCACTACTTGCAATTGCATCTTTTTTTTTTTTTAATATTTATTTTCTAGTTGCAGTTGGACACAATATCTATGTTTTATTTATTTTTATGTGGTGCTGAGGATCGAACCCAGGGCCTTGAACGTGCTAGGCGAGTGCTCTACCACTGAGCACAACCCCTGCCCCCAGTTGTGTCTTTTTTTTTTTTTAGTTGTTGATAGACCTTATTTATTTATGTACGGTGCTGAAAATCAAACTCAGTGCCTCCCACATGCAAGGCAAGGGCTCCTCCACTGAGCCCCAGCCCCACAATTGCTTCGTGACGGGAGGCGGTCTTGCAGGACCAAGCCCGTAACCTATTCTCACTCCAGTTAGTTGATGTCAGAACTCGGCTGCAGGATGCCCAGTTGGTATCCACAGGGAACTGGAGACTTGCACGGAGTCTGTAGAGGAAGTTTTTCTGTCTACACCTCAAGCTGTGTCCTGAGCACTTCGTGAAGATGAACTCATCAAATCTTTCAGGAAGGTAGGTGGTTGAGCCCAAATGGAAGTTAAAGTTAAAATGAGGTTAAATAGTTCCCTAGTGTCTCACAGAGGTGACTGGTGGAGCCACAACCCCAGCCCAGGGAGGCTGGCGGGGAATGTGTCCAGAACACCGTGTGCCACTGCTTGTCTCTGCTCCCATGTGGGCGGTTCAGAGCCTGTAGTTGTGACACCAAAAGAACGGCCAGTGCTAAAAGAATGTGGGTTGTTTTGTTGAGACTTAAAAACAAACACTGAACACTCTTTCTGAAGTGTGTATTTAGCATTTAGTGCTGGGTGCACATTCTTCCAGAGGTGCTCCAGACCAGAGGACAGCTAACCTGCAGCTAACTGGCCTCATCTGGCGGGCACCATGGCGTATGCTGCTTGGGAGGCTGAGGCAGGAGGATGGCAAGTTCAAAGCCAGCCTCAGCAACAGCAAGGTGCTCAGCAACTCAGTGAGACATTGTCTCTAAATCAAATACAAAATAGGGCTGGGGATGTGGCTCAGTGCTGAGTGCCTGAGTTCAATCCCTGGTACCGAGAAGGGGGAAAACCCACTGGCCTCATCGGATTGTGCAGTCAGGCCAAATTTACTTTTGTCCCGTGAGTGGTATGAAACTAAGTCCCTTTGATTCATTTATTGGGCAGCTTCTTGAGTGCCTAACGTAGCCAGGGCTAGTACTCCCTGACCTTGGGCAGTTATTTGAGTTCTTGAGCCTGATGGCGTGTTAAGCGAGGGAGAGAGAGTGTTCCATTTCACAGGGCTGAAGATGAGAGGGTCAAGGAGGACTTCCAATGAAAAGATGACAACAAAAAAGGCACAGGCCTGCGGGGTATTCCAGGACTGCAGAAGGGAAGGGACACGGAGGGGGACACGGAGGGGACCACGGAGGTGGAGAGGCACGGGGCCACGAGTTCAGACCTGAGGGACTCGTTCCTGTTCCAGGCCACAGCAGGGACTGTTCT